CAGCAGAGTGCCACCTCAGCAGTGACACGTCAGCAGAGTGCCACCTCAGCAGTGACACGTCAGCAGAGTGCCACCTCAGCAGTGACACGTGAGCAGATTGCCACGTCAGCAGGTGCCACAGCAACAGTGACACATCTTGATGCGCCTCAGCCAACGACTGGCCGAGCCCAGATCCGCAGGAGCCAAGCCTCAACAGGGACTTAAGACCCCTCGGATTCCGCGCAGGCCACGCACGACCATGGCTGCTACCTCTGACAGCAGTGCACCAGCCAGCCCCAAGAGGCCGGTTACCCCTCCTATCCCAGTTCAGCAGGCCGATGAACCACTTCTAGCGTTCCTCGAACGTCTCCAGCAGTATTCGGAGACGACGGCAGCTGAACTACGCAAGTGGGAAGAGGAGGAAGCCGCCCGCCAGCAGGAAATGTAACGCCAGCTGGCAGAGGCAGAGGCATCAAGTCAGCGGGCTGCAGCAGAAGCTGCAGCAGCCGCACGGTTGCAACAGCAGCAGGTCGAGGCAAGTCAAAACCAGGCTCGTTACCAAGCCACGATGGACCTTGCTCGCGACGAAGCCACGTATGCAAGGCTACTTCAACGACAACATTTCCAAGAGACCGAAGAACAAGAACAGCCAACCGACGAAGAAAGGGACAAGGAAGGGACAGCAGTTCTAATGGAGACTCTGCTGTACACATGCAATTGGCAGCAACGTGAACTGCTCGCCATGCGGCAGGTCTTCATCGGCCATGAAACAACGTTCAAGGCACTGAACAAGAAGATCGCTGCCCTGCAGGCCGAGAACAGCACACTACATGCCACCAACAGCCAGCAGCAGATACTCAACGGCCAGCAGCAGACACTCAACCACCAGTTGCAGACAGATGTCGGCATGGGGTTGGCACAACTGTCAGCAGCTGCGCCAACGGGCAGTGCAGCGGTAGACTGCGGCCCAGCTTTGGCCGCGCAGGCCAAGCAGCTCGAAGAGCGGATCAACCACTTGGTCGCATCCCTCGGCGACATCAACAAGTATGCTGGAGCGTCGACAGTCAGCAATCAGCTGCAGACGCTCAGCGACCGCGTTGACCAACGACCGGCCGCTGCCGCCAAGGAATGGACGATGCCGAACTTCAAGATCGAGAAGTTCGACGACTACCACAAGACTGATCCGCTGCAATGGTGGATGGCTTTCGACGCAGAGGCGGACGTACATCACACACCCGCCCATCGGCGGCTTGACGCACTCTACCTCCAACTCATCGGAGACGCGCAGGCTTTCATGACACACATGGCCGTCACGATGGAATGCACCATCGCCAACCTCCACACGAAGATCACGTGGGAGGAATTCGAGAAGAAATGGAAGACTCGTTTCATGGTCAACAACGACAAACGGCACGCCATGAACAAGATCTTCCGCATCTACCAAGGCCAGCAGACGTCACGGGAATGGCTGACGGAGTGGCAAAGACTCGTCGCCACCCCGGAGTTGAATTTACCATTCGACGCAATCCGGGCCGAATTCTTCGCCCGGTCATACGACGCCTTGACTGCTGCCTTGGGTACTGAGTTTCAGTACGAGACCTTTGATGATCTGATCTCAAAGGCAAGAGAGCTAATTCAAGGTAACCGGCGCGCGGCTAACGAGACCTGCCAACAGCCCGGTTACGAGGAGAAAGGCAAGGGTCAACGGACGCCGCAAGTAGCAGCAGTCCAGCAAGGACCAAGTGAGGACCCCACAGCCGCGTCTACATCAAGTGACGGAGATGTGGCGGCAGCGATACCACCGCAACGCTCAAGACCCCGAAGGGGAAAACAAAAGGCGAAACCAACGTCAGCGGATGGAGCACGACAAGCACCATGGACAAAGTTCGGCATTACCGAAGATATGTTCAAGTTGCGACAGAAATGGTCATGCTGTTTGTGGTGCAACAGCACCAAACACATCACCAGCGCCTGCCTCGACAAGGACAAGGAAAATGTCAAACGCCCGGGCTCGGGAAACTGAGCACCGCGGGAAGTGCAGCGACAACACTTCCCAATCCACCGGAGTCGGTTGCCTTGCTAGCAGCCTCTCTCACATCCGGGGACACCGCAGTAGTCGCAAGTTCTCGAGTTGAGTATGAGAACTATGCTGTCGAGCTGGTCCCACCGTTGAACCAGCCCCTCCACGTGCAAGATTCAAGCGCATGCGCGGCAGTTCCGCCGTCGGACAACGAACCGGTTGCTTCGCCAGCCCTATCATCGGAGGATCCGTCAACTTGGGCGAGTCTTGAGGAATTCGACCCGTTGACGGTTGAGGACTGGTTGCCTCTTCCCTCCACCGGTTCTTTGCCAACTCCGCATTGCAATGGCTTAATGGCACATCTGCGCGAATACTTGCACGCTGCAGTACCACCTCTGTCGACGGACGACGGAGTAGCGGTTGTTGATCTTTGTAACTATCTTGCGAAGATCGACTGCGAGTACGCAACGCAACGGTACGTCGACAACGATGCGCCGCTCCTCTACATCCGCATTCAGATCGGAAAGGCGACCTGCAGTGCCTTGATCGATTGTGGAGCGACTCGCAACTACATCAGCCAAGACTTCATGGCACGCGCCGGGCTTGGCCCGCGCGTTCGAAGGAAAAGTCAGCCTACGCACGTCACGTTGACCGATGGTCACACGCAAAAGTCAATCGACCGATGCGTTGACTCGGTGCCCGTGTACTTTGCCCCGCTAGCATGCGAGGCCGTGTCTTTCGACATATCGGACACCAAGTTCGATATGAATCCTAGGCATGTCGTGGCTGCAAAGCGAAGACCATCCGGTGAACTTCCATTACCGCACCGTTCACGTTTGTGATCGGCGCGGCGAACTAGTCCCGTGTACGGTGCTGCTTCCTCATCCTTCGATTGGTTGTCACGTGGTATCTGCGGCGAGCATTCGCCAATCCATCCGGCGGAATGACATCGAGGAGATGGGCATATGTTTTCTTCACGCCCTCCCGCCCGATGATCAGCCCAAGACGGATACGTCGGACCCACGCATCATTGAGCCGTTGGACAGCTATGAGGATGTCTTTCAAGCTCCCACCGGGAGTCATACCGGATCGGCCCATACGCTACGGGATCACTCTCGAGGACGGTGCCGTACCTCCGCATGGATGTATCTACCGCATGAGCGAAGAGGAACTTCAAGTGCTTCGGGCACAACTAGACGACCTCTTGGCCAAGGGCTGGATTCGCCCTAGCTGTTCGCCATACGGTGTTCCCGTTCTCTTCGTCCGGAAGAAGAACAAGGACCTTCGTTTGTGCATCGACTATCGGAAACTTAACGCGCAAACGATCAAGAACGCCGGCCCTCTCCCTCGGATCGATGATCTTCTCGAGCGACTAGGCGGCACCAAGTACTGCTCAAAGCTTGACCTCAAGTCCGGATACCACCAGATCGAGATCCAGCCAAGAGATCAGTACAAAACCGCGTTCAAAACGCGATATGGGCACTTTGAGTGGATCGTCATGCCTTTCGGTCTCACCAATGCCCCCGCTACTTTCCAAGCGGCTATGACGACGGAATTCCGCGACTTGCTCGACCGCACCGTGCTTATTTACCTCGATGATATCTTGGTTTATAGCCGGGCGCTGGACGAGCACCTTCGCGCCGTTTTGGAGCAGCTTCGTATCGCCAAGTACAAGGCGAACCACGACAAGTGCAAGTTTGCCCAGCAAGAGATGGAGTACTTAGGCCATTACGTTACGCCACAAGGCATTCGTCCGCTCGCGGACAAGGTACAAGCTATTCAAGATTGGCCGGACCTCAAGTGTACTACCGACGTCCGCTCCTTTCTCGGCTTGGCATCGTACTACATGCGCTTCGTCAAAGGATTTCAACGCATCGCTGCACCATTGTCGCGACTTCAGTCCCCCTTGGTGCCCTTCGAGTTCAGCGACGAAGCCCGGCATGCGTTTCACACGCTTTGCTTCAAGCTCCCGTCTTAAGCATCTATGACCCAACCTTGCCTACCAAAGTGACTATGGACGATTCCGGCTATGGCATTGGCGCGGTTTTGGAACAGCATGACGGCACAGACTGGCATCCGGTTGAGTACTTCAGCCAAAAGGTGCCGCCCATCAACACTCTTGATGATGCGAGGAAGAAGGAACTCCTAGCTTTTGTCACCGTACTTGAGCGTTGGCGTCACTTTCTCCTCGGGCGTCAGCGATTCACGTGGGCAACGAACAACAATCCGTTGACGTATTACAAGACGCAAGATACGGTGAGCAGCACGATCGTTCGATGGATGTACTTCATTGACCAGTTCAACTTCACCTCCAAACACATTCCGGGTTCCTCGAACAAAGCAGCGGATGCTCTCTCGCGAAGACCTGATCTTTGCGCCTTGGTGCACTCCACATTCGGCCTCGACGAGAACCTACAACAGCATTTCGTAAACGGCTACAAGTCGGATCCGGGATTCTCCACACTCTATGCGGACTTATCATCGGACCAACCGCCGGCAAGCAACTATCGCATTGTCGACGACTACTTGCTTCTCCATACACGAGGCAAGGACTTGTTGTGTGTTCCCTAAGACTGCATCTTGCGCACTCGCCTCCTTGGCGAATACCATGATTCGCGGCTGGCGGGACACCTTGGCGTCGCACACGCACTACCACGACTCCGCCAGCCATTTCACTGGTCGGACATCATCAGCGACGTCAACCGGTATATTCAGTCATGTGCAGTTTGCCACCGGAACAAAGGGTGCCATCAGCTCCCGTACAACGAACTGAAACCATTCCCGATTCCTCGGGCACCGGGTCTCTCCATTGCTATGGATGTGACCGGTCCTTTCCCTCGCGATCGCCTTGGTCATGATGGTATTCTCACGGTCGTTGACCGCTTGAGCAAGTACGCTCAATTTCTTCCATGCAAGTACCATGCGACGGCTCCCGAGCTCGCACGACTTTTGCATACCGGCTGGTTTTGCAGCCACGGCGTTCCGGAAGACATCGTTAGCGACCGCGACACTCATTTCATGTTGGCCTTTTGGACGGCGCTCATGGTGGAATCCGACACCAGCATGAAACCGAGTTCCGCACGGCATCCTCAAACGGATGGGCAAACGGAACGTGCGCACTAGACTGCGCAGATGATGCTCCGTACACTCATCCGCCCGGATCAGAAGGACTGGGTTGACGGCCTTCCCGACATCGAGTTCGCCTACAACACTTCAGTGCACCCGGCGATCGGCGTGACTCCATTCGAGTTGCACCATGGTGGACGGAAAGGACGTATCTTCGCAGACATTTTGCTTCCACGGGCTGCCGATATCGACGCCGCTTGCTCCCCCACTTCTACACGGAAGTACAGGGAACTGCTGGCCAAAGCCCGCGCAAATATGCAGAAGGCTCAGGTCCGTATGCAGCAGCAAGCGAACCGGCATCGCATCCCATGTCCAATTCACGCTGGCGACCTAGTTTGGGTCACCTCCGAGGAATTCGCGCTCGAGCAGGACGTCTCGCGCAAGCTCCTCCCTAAGTGGTTTGGACCATGGATGGTCACTTCAGCAGCTGGCGACGACCCCGCGGGTCCATCTTTCATCATTGAGATTCCCCCGCATTTGACGGTCCACCCGACATTTCACGCTTCAAAGCTGGCAGTCTACACTCCAGCCTCCGCAGCGGACTTCCCCGGCAAACGGTCACAGGACCCTCCTTCAATGGATGGCCATCAGGAGGTCGACCGCGTTCTCACGCATCGCAAGCATGGCAACAAGCCTATGCAGTACAAAGTTACATTTAAGCAATGCGATCCGAACGATACACGCTGGATTTCAAGAGCTGATCTGAAGGAGACAACACCCCTCATCTTCGCACATTATGAAAAACAGCGACTTGCTAAGGAAGTTGCCCAACCTGCCCGCCATGTACGGACATCGGACAGACAGCTTCGCTCTCGCAAGTAGCTCGGTCTTCAAGGGGGGGAGTGTGTGGCATTCTGAGCCAGACAGGCCCCAGTAAGGGCCCGGTTCCAGACAGGCAGGGTAGGCCTAAGGGACGACGGTTCAGATGAGGCCCAGATGGGCCTGGACCACGGCGGTTCAGGCAGGCCCAGGCCAAACGGCCACAAGGCCGGTACCGGTCCAGCCTAGGACCTACCGACAACGTTTCAGAGGCTGCCACAGTTTAGGCGCCAACCAGTTTCAAAATTGGACCGTTGATCTGGATCAACGGTCCAGGCCGGTAGGTACCAGCTAGTAGGAGGCCGGCCCAGCACTACAAAAGGCTGGGTACCAGCCTCAGTACGGAGGTTAGTAAGGCTAGAGGTTAGTCTCCAGGATTAGCGCATCAGCTTCAGCGTTAGCTCGTTTAGCGCAGCGCTGCAGCACAGCACGGAGCAGCGAGAGCGAAGAGCCAGCGGCGAGCGGACTAGCGCAGCACTTGGGCGCAACGCCAGTTACCGACCCAGCCCCTTGCAGCGCCTTAGCGACAGACCAGGTATCAGGGAGGAAGGCTTCGCCTTCTCTCCCTCTTCTTCTCCATCGCTCCTCTCTCTCTCTCTCTCTCTCTCTCTCTCTCTCTCTCTCTCTCTCTCTCTCTCTCTCTCTCTCTCTCTCCT